GTGAGACCAGCCTTATCCAGGAGGCTCTTATGTTCTTAATCCACATTAATGATAGTGAAAAGAGGATAAAATGTGTGTGATTGCATGGGATGGATGACATGCATCCCTACTTGACAGATGAACAGTAGAATAAATATTCGCAGCAAATCCATCCCTACTTAATATGTGATGGAAAAACATATTGTTAAGCTACTATAAGTTCATTGCCATTCACAATAGAGCTCTTTTACTATGCAGTATTTTTTATTTACTTAACAAAATGTATATAGCGCTTGATTGTAATAAAACCACTCAGTGGTTTATGTACCTCTGAGCGACGCAATGAGGCAAGATTAGTTTTAACACAGTGCATTGGGGAAGTTCTTTTGCACACAAGTCTGAGCTACTAAGATTAAAGTCAATAGATAACCCACCCTTCTTTTCACAAACTGAGGCTGAAAGGCAATAGCTAGCAATACCCCCAAGGCTAAATCTAGATTTGGAACCTAGATCCAACACTGACTCACATTTCTACAGTACTTTTACATCAGGCTTTGTGTTTTAACAACAATGTGAAGAAGCATAAAGAACTTCTTTCGACACTTACTAAAGAAGTGAATATCTTCTATAACCTTGTATATCAGTACTTCACAATCCTTGTATGACAAAGACAAGCTTCTTATATTGAATGTACAGAATGCTTCCCACTTACTACCACTGATTCAGGCAGTATTATTCACTTCCAAATGACTTTTTTCGGGCACATCACAGCATGCTTTACAAAGCTTCTCTCTCGACCCACCAATTCACCTCTTGTGAGTGTGTAATCTCCTTCCATATTTTATGTCTTTCTGGGGGCTATTATCCAGAAAGACATAATAACAGAGTTTTTAAACATGACATTCAGGAGCAACTTTTCAGTTCAAGTTTTAATGAAGTTGGTTATAGCCAACTTCTTCATTAACTTACTGTAGAGGTATACAGCAACCCACAGAAGCATATGAAACATTACAGCTAATTATTAAAATTAGTTTTCTGAATTCATTCTTTAAATGAAAATTAACAGAAGTATCCATGCATTTTATAATCATACCCACAGACATAACCGTCTCATGTTGCTGAAGGCACTTCATTACTATGGTTACTACTAAAGGCTAACAGGTGTTTTTTTAATAAAAAAAATGGCATGAGCTTTCACGGGCTAGAGCCTGCTTCATCAGATGCAGAAGAACTCATCACAATAAGATTGCTAGTCTCCAAGGTGCCACAGGACTGTTAACCGCAATAATTCAAAAAGAGCAGCCTTGTGGCCTGTGAGAGATTTAGCAGATGTACGGTGGCAACAGTTCTTCTTCCCTGCATCAGATGAAGCAGGCGCTATTCCATAAATGCTCATGCAAACAATAACTCTGTTTTAGGTTTTTACGGTGCCACTAAGCTCTTTGTTCTTTTCGCCACAACAGTGTCACCACAAGCTTTACAACACTTTAAAAAACTAGCAGGTTTACTGTGGCAAGTGTTTTTGCTCCGCTGCAAACAAAACAAAAACCCACTCGTGCCACTGCAGGGGGTTGGACTAGACGACCCTCGGGGGGAAAACTCCCCCCCTCAAAAAAAAAACTTCACGATTCCACCAACTAGTTCCGTTAAGCCTTTAAAAGGTACCATATTTTTGGGGGGGGGTCTCCTTCCGCTGCAAGCGCAACAGATGAAAGAAACACTTCTGGAACTCTTACACCGCGCAAAGGGGGCAGGGAAAAAAATTAGAATAATGAAGTCTCGAAGCAGATTTGCAGGGGGCTTCCACGGAGAGCCCCCCTTACCCGCCCGGAGCCACTGCTCGGGCTTCAATCTTAGTTAGGCAGGAGTTACTCGGGAGTAACTCAAGTGAGCAAACGTGCAGAGTTTCCTTTTTAAATCATTACAAAATGGGGTCCCGGGGGAGAGTAGGGAAAAGAGACCTTCCAGGCTCCCTTTGTCTCTCCTTCTCTGCTCGCGGCAGATTTATTACAATCACAGCCTCGCAATGTTTATGCACACAGATTACTCCGCCTCGCCTCTTAACTCGGGAAGGCGCTTCAAGGCCGAGTAAGTAGTAAATAAAGCGAGCGGAGCGAAAACAAAAGCGGAGAGGGGAAAAGAAGAGGGGGCTGAGGGGGCGTTACCTGGGCCTCGGCCGGGACCCCGTGTCGGGCGGCGGTGGCGGCGGCAGCAGCAGCAGAGGCGCCGCCGCGGCCTGCCCGCCCTCCGGTGAGGGGCCTTCCTGGGCGCCCCTAACCCACCTCCTCGGCCGCCCCTCGCGATCGCCTTCCCGCCTCCTCAGCGGCCCTGAGGGAGACGAGCCGGGAGGGGGGAGGCTTCCTGAGGGGCGCCGCGGCCTCTCGCTCTGCGCACGCGCGCGCAGACGGGCGGGGGGGGGGCCGAAGCGCGAGGAGGAGGAGGAGGGAGGAACGTTCCAGCCGCCGCCGCTGCTGCCACCTCCTACGTCGTGCCGCTGGCTGGCTGGTGTTGTTGTTGGTGGTGCCGCTGTTGCCGCCGCCGCAGACACGGCCAGGCAGGCGCCGTAGCGCGCATGCGCCACATCCGGGTTTTTTTTTCTCTCTCTCTCTCTCTTCCCTTCTCCCTCCCACCCTCCCGCGCTTTGCTGCTGCTGTCGCGCCGCCGCACGCCACCCTCTGCTACGGCTCCTTCACCACCTCCCGCAAGCGTGCACACAGCGCGCATGCTCAGTCGAGGGCAAGCCAGGCGACGGCGCCCTAGCTTAGTTTTTTTTTTCTCCTTGGAAAAGAATGCGGGCGGGCGCGGAGTAACCGCGGGAACCAGGAGAGGGAAAGAGATTTGGGTTTTTGGTTTTCAGGAGCGTCGTCAGCGTGCGAACACAGAACGGGCGGGCGGTTTTTTTTTTTAAAAAAAAACAAACTTTATTTTGCCCTGAAATTGCTGGCTGGCGAGGAGGGGTCGGTTCCTTCCCGGAAATACCGCCGATTTTGCTCAAAAAAACCCCCCGCACTGCTTATTGTTTGCAGCGCGCACGCGGTACTGGATTGCTACCAGGCGACAGCCACCAGCCTTGATCTGCCAGCAGCGCTGGGTGCACACACACATTTTCAAGCAGAGGTTGAATGGCCATAAATAATAGGTGACCTAGTTGAGATTCGCGCAGTGCAGGGGGTTGGACTAGATGATCCTCAGGACCCCTTCAAACAAGTCTGTTTGAATAAAGCAAGGGATCTGAGGGGAACCACCAAATGACCACCCCCTCCTCACTTTTTGAATGGGGTGTAAGGTCCTTACACCCGGCCCAACTTCAGCTTGGGTCAACAAGGCGAGAGAATCCAATTGTCAAAAGCTGCGCTTGCTTGCTGGTTGCCAAAGTCCAGTGATTTCCACAGTTCAGAATCCCAGCCCCGCCAACCATAAAAGCACCTAGCACTTGGGATGCGATTAGATGCAATAATTGCAAGTTGGATCAGGGACCTGCTTGCAGGGAGAAAGTGTTGAACTCCCAGTGATTAGTTGCAGGAAATTTTTCCTTGGCTCTGGACGCTGAAAAGGAGGAAACCCTGGGGATAGCTGAGCCAGGCTATGCTATTTAAAGGGGAGAATGTGCGCAGCAGTTGGGATCTTCGGCCCAAGCCACGCCCTCTTTCTTTGAACATGGGAAAGATTCAGCCTTCATGCCCAATGTGCGTGCCAAGTTTAAAATTAGACCAAGGACATCTGAGCTCGGATGGGATCTCGGGGGAGGCAGAAGTATTTTTAAACTCTGGATGCACTTGGATCCAGAAAGCAAAAGGGGAAGTAAAAGATATCCAGTTTCGTGACATTTTAGAAGCTGCAGAGGAGATGAACCACATTTCGCAATCCCTCGTGCAGCTCGCTTCTATGCAGCGGCTTCTGCTAAAGCGAAGCCTCCAACACAGAGCTGCCTTCTGCTGCATTCCTTTCCACGCAACACAATGCAGTAATTTGAACACCAGTTCTTGTGGTACTATTAGTAAAGGTAAAGGGACCCCTGACCATTAGGTCCAGTAGTGGCCAACTCTGGGGTTGCGGTGCTCATCTTGCTTTATTGGCCGAGGGAGCCGGCATACAGCTTCCGGGTCATGTGGCCAGCATGACTAAGCCGCTTCTGGCGAACCAGAGCAGCGCACAGAACCGCCGTTTACCTTCCCGCCGGAGCGGTACCTATTTATCTACTTGCACTTTGACGTGCTTTTGAACTGCTAGGTTGGCAGGAGCAGGGACCAAGCAATGGGAGCTCACCCCGTCGTGGGGATTCAAACCGCCGACCTTCTGATCAGCAAGTCCTAGGCTCTGTGGTTTAACGCACAGCACAGGTGCCAAATAAACTGCATTTGTAAGAAACTGACATTTGATTACGATGGTACTGCACTTTGGAACTCCTTGCCTCTTGACATGAGGCAGGCACCTTCACGGTACTCTTTCTGCCACCTGCTAAAAAATATTTGTCTATACACACCTACATAGATATCTATCATGTTGGTGTGTGTGTTTAACCTGTTTTTAGTTTATCACTGATTATATATTGTTTCAACTTTTAAAAATAGTTGTTCTTAACAGGTTTGACTGATCATTTTAGCGTTCTTTTTGTAAACTGCTTTGAGGTTTCTGACAAGTGCGATATAAATTATATGAAATAAATGAACAATGGTTTTGTGAGTTGATGTGCAGTCTGTGGATGAGATCGTGCACTAGAGTCCTCCGACTGCACATATTTCCAATCCCTGTTTTATGATTTTGGCACATTGCACAGGTCTGTGTTATGGCAAATGGATCATGGAGCCTAATATCACCTGCAGGCACTAGGATCTACCCACCTTTTCCCCATTATAATTCCATCCCAGATTGCACTTCACGCCAAGCCTATTTTCAGCAGATATGCATTATGACTCTTAAGAATGCTTAGTTTAGGAAACTGAAATTTGTAATGGTTTGCCTGAGATCAAAAGCTAAGCCAGCTCATTATGCCTTCAGCAGAAAGTAAGCTTGCTAGCCCAGTCTTTTGATGATTTAATTAATATTATTTGTCAAAAGGAAAGCAAGGATTAGGTCTTTCAAGTAGGAAAAGTGCCCCATAAGTAAGTCCAATGGATCAGGTCCGTAAGTGCCTCCAACTGGGCATTAAGAAACTAATTTGGTAGTAAACTATAGCTAGAGGTTCAGCCTATCAGCAAATTAATTTGGTGACGCTATTGTTACTTTTTTCATTGGAATATCAATGGTCATAAAATCCTCGGCTAACACCACTTCTTGGCCACCCAACACCCGCTCGGCTTGCCTCTTCAGCTCCATGACATCCACATCTCCTTCGCCAGTCTGACCTGCGGGCTTGTATCTCTGACTGAAGTGAGACAGAACCAGTTTCTTCGCTTTGCACAACTTTGCAAACTCCGCCGCCACCTGTGGGGTGCTGTGACCGTGCTCCTTCGCTTTGTCTGCCTGGGCATCGTCCAGCGTGGCTTCGTGAACCAAGAGATCAGCTCCATAACAAAGGGCCGCCGCTCCGTCTCCTACAATGCCAGAGCAGTCTCCTAAAATGCAAACTTTTCTCCCAGGAAGCGGCTCTTCCGTGACATCTGAAGGAAAGATGGTTGTACCATTTTCCAAGACAACTGTAGCCCCGTCTTTCAGTCTGCCGTATATAGGGCCTGGTGGAACTCCTAGAAATTAAAGCACAGGTCCAAAGCTATTTGTCAAGAAGCTTGGCTTGCAACAAAATTTCAAACCCACTTCTGAGCAATCGGCAATTCCCCAAAAATTCACGCAACCATGCCACCAAGTTTCTAGTCCTTATGAATGCATATTTGCAAAATATGCAGGCATTTTTACAGCATACTTTTTCCTCTGATGGTACCTATCCAATGATCCGTCCCAGATCCATAACCATTCCTTCCCTGCATCAGTGACTGCTGCTAAAGAACATTTAGCTGGACGGCTCAGATGGTTAGAGTGTGGTGCTGATAACTCCAAAGTTGCAGGTTCAATCCCCATAAGGGGCAGGTGCATATTCCTGCATTGCAGGGGGTTGGACTAGATGATCCTCAGGGTCCCTTCCAAGTCTGTATGATTTAACATTTTATGCAGGGGAAATACTGAGTTTAGAATAAAGTGCATGCAGGGTTTCCATTTTTAGGTACTGAATTGTTTCTGTTGCCTAACAACTTTTACACATGAAAAAGTTCCATCCTATTCAGATTCCTTTTCAACCCTTTCTCGCTCCATTCATTCCCACATGACTTTTTGCCCTATAGGTAATATATATTTTAACACCTGCAATATCTGCAGTGCTTCAGCCAAGGCCAGCCTAATACTCCAGCACATTAAATATAGCTGTCGGTTAGCCTTGGTTGGAAAATAAAAAGGGTAGAGCTATAATCTTATGCAACACTGATTTTTCCCTCCCTGTTACATGAAGGATTCTCTACTTTGAAATGCTGTTTTGGGGGGTGGGGAGGTGGAAGGAGCTCTGCTCTTACCCCCCCCCCCTAGATTTCTGCACTAAAGTTTTCAGATCTGATCAGAATCATTAACCAACATTACCTGTGTCTCTAAAAGAGAGAAATGTGTGCATTAGTCTATAACAGCGAAGGGAAAGAAGAGCGCAGGCATCTCAAAGACTGGCCTCAAAAGCACACCCCACATGAAACCAATGGCGATTACATGGAGCAGACAATGGCTTTGAAGACACACACACACAAGCACTGCGCTAAATTAATTATTCCCTAAGGTGCCAAAGCACTCTCTTTTATGGGTAAAAGCAAGCCGTTTCCCCTGCTCGGAAAGTTATTAGTCACACTCGGGAGCTGTGGTGTGACGTCAGCGCTCACGACGATCAGCAGAGGCACTGTGGGAATTTGAATCCATCAAGTGTACAGCAGTGGCTAAGAGGTGGCGGTGTGCACCAGGAAGCCCTCTGCTCAAATCTCTCACGGCTCCCTCTGCCAGCAGCACAATACCGACCTACAATTCAGGGTCATTGTGGGAACCGTTGAGATACTCTGCCTGAAGTAAATGCTAAGTACGACCATCGTTTACAAGTAGGCCTGGCTGATACAGTGGTATCTTGGTTCTCAAATGCCTTGGTACTCAAACAAATTGGAACCCAAACACTGCAAACCTGGAAGTTAAGTGTTCCGGTTTGCGAACTTTTTTCAGAAGCCAAACGTGCTCCATTCTAAGCGTTACGCTTCTGATTTGAGTGCCACACTTCCGTTTTGAGCGTTACACTGAGGTCTGTCTGTTTTTGCTATTTATTTTGCATTTCTGCGGCTCTTTTTGTTTTGTTTTTGTGACTGTGTGGAACCCAGTTCGGCTACTGTTTGATTGTGTGACTGCGGTACGTTGTTTATTGCTTTCATTTTATGGATCAATGGTCTTGTAAGATAGTAAAATTCATGTTAAATTGCTGTTTTAGCAGGTTTTTAAAAGTCTGAAATGGATTAATCCATTTTGCATTACTTTCTATGGGAAAGCACGCCTTGGTTTTGGAATGCTTTGGTTTTGGAACGGACTTCCGGAACGGATTAAGTTTGAGAACCAAGGGACCACCGTATATCGATATATCACTCAGGAACAGACCGCGATGTCGGCTTCATTCAGCGGTATATTGCTGGTGAAACCGCCACCACTCCTGAGTCCCTCTGCTAGCGACTTCCTCCAGCGAGCGTTGCTAGCAGAGGGATTCAGGAACGGCGGCAGTTTCACCAGCGATATACCGCTGAGTGAAACCACCATCCCACTCTGCCTCCCTCTGTATCTTTAACTGCTTGGCTGAGGAGTGTGCAGTTGCCGCTACCCTCGGCAGAGTAATTAAAGGAGCCCCCAGCCCGGCGCTGGCTCCCACACAAGTGGGGGGAGCACCAGGGGTGTCTGATCTGGGGATCGGGAGCACTCCAGCACCCCAGCTGAGCCATACAAACAAGCTGCTTTGTCCCATCCCGCTGGAGGTAAAATCGAACCTTGACTGGGATCCAATGAATATTAGTACATTGACCAGGAATTGGCATTGTGTGTGCTAATATTGATTGGACCACCGGATTAACATGATCAGGAGCATCCTATATGCTAACAGCAAAACCATTGTTCAAGTATCAATCCTTATGTAGCCAAAACAGGACCATCCACACACAAAAGGGCAAAACCAAGGAAATTCCAAAGTTTGCCGATGTAAAAATCTTACCAAAACAAAAACATTCTAATGAGGACTGATCATGCTCAATTGGCTACAGAACACTGTCTGCTGGGCAGGGGCAGGGGCAATGGAATGGAGTACCCTGAGGAAAGGGCTTGGTTGGCTGGTACTCTGAACAGGAAACCTCCATGCTGCAACTTTCTGTTGCAGGTCTCACTAAAAAAAGGGGGGGAAAGACTAGAGGTAACCACTGGGTGCCCTTCAGAGGTGTAGATTCCCATCATCCATAATCATTGGCCATGCTAGAAGGGGCTGCTTGGAATTGCTATCCACGAACTCTAGAGGGTACCTGTTGGTTGTCACTGTTTTAAGACAAACTTCAAAACACCTGCTACAGGACAGTTTTCCTAAGGATCGAAAGAGGCAGGCCCGTTATTACCTAGTTCCTTCAGCTTCTGGGCGTTGAGTTTGCCAGGCCGTGGCTTCTCTTCCACGAGAAATCCGAAGGAAGGTATGCGGTGAAACAGCCTAAACGCCTTCACCACAAACTGAGAGTTGTCCACCAAGGTGTACGAGTCTTCTAGAGGGTCCAGGCGAAGGGTTTTTCCTGGTGCCTCTTCAGACGAGACCTTGTCTCCGTCCACAAAAGACAGCTCCTTCCGTTCCTCTGCAGGGCACTGGTCTGGCGTAGGCACCAGTTCGTGAACGACCCAAGGGAAGGCGAGCTGCGAGTGGGAAAGCTCCAAAATTCTGCAAAGGAAGCTCCTCAGCCCAAGAGGTCCATAAATCTCAACTGGCAGCTTGTTTGTGGCAGGGCTACTCTGGAGGCTGATCGTACAAAGAAGCCCAGGCAGGCCAAAGACGTGGTCCCCGTGGAGGTGTGTTATAAAGATCTTGGCAATCCTACCTAAAAACACAACAATGGATTTGAGATGAGAGAATTCAGGAGGCAAACGTTGAAAACAGCACATGGAGAAAACAGACGTTCACACCAGAGAAGTACAAATATGTTAGGATATAGTTCCGTTCCACCTTTAGAACAGGCATATGGAGTTGTTCTTTTTCTTAACTGCCATCGCTTCTGTCGGCGAGGTCCACAGAGGTATTTTTGGTTCCAATATTCCTTTATATTTTATCCAGATCTTATATAATGATTTCCTTATTAGATGATTCAGGAAGACTTCACCTTCTCATAAATTAGATAGGCATGCCACCCATTATCGATTATCATAATCGGTATGAGTCAATATTTTATTATTGTGATGCCTCCTGGCCTGCACTTTAGATTCTTCATTTTATTGCATTCTTGGCTATGTTTGTCCTTCTTAACAAAATCAATAAATATTATATGAAATAAAACGTCAAATGAATAATAATAATAATAATAATAATAATAATAATAATAATAATATATTGTTTATACCCCGCCCATCTGGCTGGACTTCCCCATCCACTCTGGGTGGCTTCCAACCAAATATTAAAATACAGTAATACATCAAACATTAAAAGCTTCCCTAAACAGGGCTGCCTTCAGATGTCTTCTAAAAGTCTGGTAGTTGTTGTTCTCTTTGATATCTGGTGGGAGGGCGTTCCACAGGGCGGGCGCCACTACCGAGAAGGCCTTCTGTCTGTTTCCCTGTAACTTGGCTTCTCGCAGTGAGGGAACTGCCAGAAGGCCCTTGGCGCTGCACCTCAGTGTCCGGGTAGAACGATGGGGGAGGAGACGCTCCTTCAGATATACTGGACCGAGGCCATTTAGGGCTTTTAAAGGTCAGCACCAACACTTTGAATTGTGCTCAGAAATGTACTGGGAGCCAATGTAGGTCCTTCAAGACTGGTGTTATGTGGTCTCGGCGGCTGCTCCCAGTCACCAGTCTAGCTGCCGCATTCTGGATTAGTTGTAGTTACCGGGTCACCTTCAAAAGTAGCCCCACGTAGAGCGCATTGCAGTAGTCCAAGCGGGAGATAACCACTACTTGGTTGCATGCACTACTCTGGCGAGGCAGTCCGCAGGCAGATAGGGTCTCAGCCTGCGTACCAGATAGAGCTGGTAAACAACTGCCCTGGTCACAGAATTGACCTGTGCCTCCATGGGATAATAAATGGTTGGCAACACCTTGGTATATAGGATTGCAGCCTTAAGCATGGAACTGGAAACACATACTTTTCCAAAGCTGCCAGCTTGGCTAGAACTTTTAGCTTCTACCAGTGACTTTCGAAAAGAGGTTGTTGGTTATATCTGACTCGAGAGACAATGGAGTTTGCTGACCTGCTTTCAGATGACTTTTCATGAACTGGGTTTGCGTCCCCTCGCCACAATCGAACAACCAGCTTTCTCCTTCAAAACGGACCACTGTAGCCGAGGCCCCTCTCGTTGGAGACGGGTAGGCAGCCCCGGTTCCCAGGAAAGTAACATCCATCGCCATTTTGCTCCAAATCAGCGCGGTACCCTAGCGGAGACAGTAACAAATGGGATTTACTTTCTGGCCCCATGCACAAAGAGAAAAGCTACGTGACATCAAAATGAACTGGTAAAGGCTTAGGCTGCAATCCTACGCACACTTACTAAGGCGTAAAGGCCTAAACACCAGGATTCGTGAATACCCAATGAAGCTGAATGTTGCAAGATTTAAGGCAGACAAAAGAAGTCTGCTCCCAAAGAGGTAATGACTGATGGCCGCCAAGTTGGATGGCTTTCAAAGAGGATTGGACAAAGTCACGGAGGATAAGGCCTTCAGTGGCTACTAGCCATAATGGCTACGTTCTACCTTCACTGTTGGAGGAATTTGATTCCGAACACCAGCTGATGGGGATTGTAAATAGAAAGCATACAGCTGTGCTCACCTCTTGCTTGTGGGTGTCTTCCTAGGTTCCTAAATTCAATGGAGCTCAGGTTTGCTCCTATCATAGAATCACATAATAATAATAATAATAATAATAATAATAATAATAATAATAATTTTTATTTATACCCCGCCCTCCCCAGCCAAGGCCGGGCTCAGGGCAGCTAACAAGCAATAATAAAAACAAGTTGAATGAATACAACTTAAAAACAAGATTAAAATACAACATTAAAATATAGAAACATTAAAATATTAAAATGCAGCCTCATCACAGTAGGAGAAAGGAAAAAGAAAGAGGGGGAAGGAATCAAATTGGCTCCAAGCCAAAGGCCAGGCATAACTACTCTTGTCTTACAGGCCCTGCAGAAAGAAATTAGATCCTGCAGGGCCCTGGTCTCATGAGACAGAGCGTTCCACCAGGCCGGAGCCAGTGTTGAAAAGGCCCTGGCTCTGGTTGAGGCTAATCTGACTTCCTTAGGGCCCGGGACCGTTAGGGTGTTGCTATTTATGGACCTTAAGGTCCTCCGTGGGGCATACCGGGAGAGGCGGTCCCGTAGGTACGAGGGTCCTAGGCCGTGAAGAGTTTGAAGTAGGGTTACCAGATGTCCCCGGTTCCCAGGGACAGTCCCCAGATTTGCAAATCTGTCCCCCGACAAATTCCGTGCCCGGAATGTCTCCAGATTTGCAAATCTGTGCCCGGGAAACGTGGCAGCGGCAGCCTCAGTAGCCCGAAGCCAGCCTGGTAGTGCAGTTGGCTCTGGCTGGCTTCAGGAGCTGCTCGCTGCTGCCGCCACTGCCGAAGGAGAACCGGGAACATCTGGCAGTACAGATCTGCTGCCCCCTTCCCCTTTATTTTGACAGATTGAGGGAGGCTCAGGAGTCATGGGTGGGCGGGTGTTGCCTAGGAGGGGCGCAAGGTGCTCGGTTTCTCTGCCAGACAAGGTGCAAAGCCCTTCTTTCGCACCCTGTGAAACATAAATGCACAGTTTTTTAAAAAACTGGGCAATGGCCGCCCGCCCGCGACTCCTGAGCCTCCCCCGATAAGTCAAAACAAAGAGGGAAGGGTGAGGAGATTGGGGAAGGCTCGGGGGTCACAGGCAGGAGGAGCACCTTTGCTCAGTTTCTTAAAAACTCTGTGCATTTATGTTCCACAGGGTGCGAAAGAAGGGCTTTGCACCTTTATACAATATGCATGTGTGCTTGGGCCCAGGGTCTTTTGCCTCACCATCCCCACTACTGACTCCCTGTTGCTACTCAGCTTAAAAAAAAAAGGGTCCCCAGATTCATTGAAAAAAAATCTGGCAACCATAGTTTGAAGGGACTCCAAGGGTCATCTAGTCCAACCCCCTGCAATGCAGGAATCTCAGCTAAAGCATCCATGACAGATGGCCACCCAACCTCTGCTTAAAAACTTCCAAAGAAGGAGAGTCCACCACTTTTCGTGGGAGTCTATTCCACTGTCAAACAGCTCTTGTCGTAAAATTCTTCCTGATCTTTAGTCAGAATCTCCTTTCTTGCAACTTGAAACCACTGGTTCGAATCCTACCCTCCAGAGCAGGAGAAAACAAGCTTGCTCCATCTTCCATGAGACAGCCCTTTCTAGATTTTGAATAGATGTAGCCGTGAAGTCAAACAAAAAAATGTAGCACCATCATAATCTAGTGGCTCTCGTGTGCATCATCACTTTTCAGATACCTCTTCAGAATTGAAGATGGCTTCATATCTCTCCAGTCTCCTTTCAGCGCTAACTAACCCAGCTCCTCAGTGTCCATGACAGCCATTGATCATCTTGGTTATAATAATAATAATTTATTATTTGTACCCCGCCATCTGGCTGGGTTTCCCCAGCCACTCTGGGCGGCTTCCCAATAAAGATGAAAAATACACTAAAATGTAATATTAAAAAACTTCCCTGAACAGGGCTGCCTTCAGATGTCTTCTGAATGTCAGGTAGTTGTTTATCGCTTTGACATCTGATGGGAGTGCATTTCCACAGGGGGCGGGCGCCACTACCGAGAAGGCCCTCTGCCTGGTTCCCTGTAAACTTGGCCTCTCGCAGTGAGGGAACCGCCAGAAGGCCCTCGGAGCTGGACCTCAGTGTCCGGGCCGAACGATGGGGGTGGAGACGCTCCTTCAGATATACTGGACCGAGGCCGTTTAGGGCTTTAAAGGTCAGCACCAACACTTTGAATTGTGCTCGGAAACGTACTGGGAGCCAATGTAAGTCTTTCAAGACCGGTGTTATATGGTCTTGGCGGCCGCTCCCAGTCACCAGTCTAGCTGCCGCATTCTGGATTAGTTGTAGTTTCCGGGTCACCTTCAAAGGTAGCCCCACGTAGAGCGCATTGCAGTAGTCCAAGCAGGAGATAACCAGAGCATGCACCACTCTGGCGAGACAGTCTGCAGGCAGATAGGGTCTCAGCCTACGTACCAGATGGAGCTGGTAAACAGCTGCCCTGGATACAAATTTGACCTGTGCTTTCATGGACAGCTGTGAGTCCAAAATGACTCCCAGGCTGCGCACCTGGTCCTTCAGGGGCACAGTTACCCCATTCAGGACCAGGGAATCCTCCACACCTGCCCGCCTCCTGTCCCCCAAAAACACACATTCTGCACACATTCCAGCTTGTCAATATCCTTCTTAAATTGTGGTGCTCAGAATTGGACACAGTATTCCAGGTGTGGTCTGACCAAGCCAGAATAGAGCGGTACTATTACTTCCCTTGATCTGGACACTATACTTCTGTTGATGCAGCCTAGAATAGCATTTGCTTTTTTGCTGCCACATCACACTGTTGACTCACTGTTAAGCTTGTGGTTCCACCAAGACCCCTAGACCCTTTTAACATGCTAGTAAGCCAGGTGTCCCCCACTCTACATTTGTACATCTAGTTCTTTCTGTCTAAGTGCAGAAACTTCAGCTTTTTTGTTGTTGCTGCTGCTGTTGCTGTTTTGTTAATAGTGTTTTATAGATTGTAAGGGTTTTATTAATGGTTTGTTAATTATTTTACATGATCTGTGCTGGATTTGTGGTGCTCGATTATGCTTCATTATGGTTATTGCTATTTATTATCTGTAAGCCGCTTTGGGATCCATCTGAATGAAAAGCAGCACAGAAACACAACCAACAGGCCGGATTTAGGTTTGATGAGGCCCTAAGCTACTGAAGAGGGATGAGGATGGCACTGTTGGTTAAACCAGAGCCTAGGGCTTGCCGATCAGAAAGTCGGTGGTTCAAATCCTATGACTAAGCGGCTTAGTCATGCTGGCCACATGACCCGGAAGCTGTACGCCAGCTCCCTCAGCCAATAAAGCGAGATGAGCACCGCAACCCCAGAGTCAGCCACGACTGGACCAAATAGTCAGGGGTCCCTTTACCTTTGAGCTTCTGAAGGTAATGAGGCCCTTTATATATCCAGCTGTCCTTTGTCAACAACAAATTGTCGCTGTTTTTTGTTGAATATATGCCGTATGTACCTAATAGGTTTCCTAAAGCCATTTGACATAACAAAATATTTATTTTATCAAAGTAATTGTTGAACTGAAATACAATTAAGAAGAAGGACAGTATTAAAGGGATGCGGGTGGCACTGTGGGTTAAACCACAGAGCCTAGGGCTTGCCGATCAGTAGGTCGGTGGTTCGAATCCCCGCAACGGGGTGAGCTCCTGTTGTTCGGTCCCTGCTCCTGCCAGCCTAGCAGTTCGTAAGCACGTCAAAGTGCAAGTAAGTAAATAGGTACTGCACCGGCAGGAAGGTAAACAGCGTTTCCGTGCGCTGCTCTGGTTCGCCAAAAGCGGCTTAGTCATGCTGGCCACATGACCCGGAAGCAGTACACCGGCTCCCTCGGCCAATAAAGCGAGATGAGCACCATAACCCCAGAGTCGGCCACGACTGGACCTAACAGTCAGGGGTCTCTTTACCTTTACAGTACAGTGGTGCCTCGCAAGACGAAAATAATCCGTTCCGCGAGTCTCTTCGTCTAGCGGTTTTTTCGTCTTGCGAAGCAACCCTATTAGCGGCTTAGCGGATTACTGCTATTAGCAGTTTAGCGGCTATTAAAGGCTTAGCGGCTTAAATGATATTAGCGGCTTAGCGGCTTAGAAAAGGGGGGGAGCGGAAAAAATCGCAAGACGTTTTCGTCTTGCGAAGCAAGCCCATAGGGAAATTCGTCTTGCGAAGCGCATCGAAAAACAGAAAGCCCTTTCGTCTAGCAGGTTTTTCGTCTTGCGAGGCATTCGTTTTGCGGGGCACCACTGTATATTAATAGTGAAATTGGGGGGTGGGCCAAGGGAGTGGGGCCCTAAGCTATAGCTTGTTTACCTTATACGTAAATCTGGCACTGCAACCAACCAACTAAATCAAACATTCTGCAAGAAAAGCGTGTCTCCCCAGATAGAAAGGCCTGTGCCACTTCAGGTTGCAAAGGAGGGATAGCATTGCTTCCAAACGGAAACTCTCGCTGCAGGAAGGAAACCAGCATTGATCAATGCTAGAACCAGGCTGTTCCATGTCAAGCTTTCCTTTCGCAGAGAATGCTGGTGTGTGTTTTTTTGTTTTAAGACAAGAGCATTTAAAAATGGCATGCATTTTAACCCTTTCCTGGCATGCATAGAACCTCAGCCAATCTGCAGACGGCATTCATCGACCTGGGAATTCCCCCCCCCCATAGCGTTGGACTACAATTCCCATCATCCCTAGTCATTGCTGGGGCTCATGGGAGCTGGAGTTCGCCACCTGATTTTGCTCCGGAGCGTAAAAGCAGCTCGTTTACAGTTTCATGGGGCGTTTGGTGTGTGTGTGGTTTTTTTCCTACCCACCTGGGGTTTTCTCTCTCGGAGTCCTCTTAGCTTGAGAGCCCGGCTACCAAGGAAGGGAAATAAGAAAATAAAGAATAGGTGATTTTTGTTTAAAGAGGAGGGTTTTTCGGGGCTCTAGCAAGCCTCCCTGCTTGAAAATCAGGTTTGCTCATTCGGGCTTTTCCCCGGTCCAAAACGAACCTTGCAAGCAAGCAGCCGGAAGCGGAGGAATTAACTGCCCTCTTTGCAAGCTCAGAGGCGCCCTTCTCCTGCGGGATGGGGGGCTATTGCGCATGCTCAGGAAGTGAGCACAATAGGAAAGGCAATAGGTTCCGGGGTTGAGTCCGTTCAGGGGGAGGAGGAGGAGCCGCTGCAGAGGAAGAAAAGGAACCGCTTTGGCATTTTGGATGCAGCTGCTGGCGAGTCTGCAGGTGAAATGGCTGGAAATCGGGAACGCTTCTAATTTCATTATTTTATGCAAAGTATATTAAAAAGTGCATACAAGGAAAAGGTACAATCGGCAGCTGAAACTGATGGAATAGGCTGAATTAGCAAGTTCAACTAGTAAAATTGGACTAAAATGGTCAACCCAAAGCTTTACATTTCTGGTGTTTACAACAGTTCTCAACACTGGGTTTTAGGAAAGCAAATAATTTAATTAGGCAGCGCCTATATGATACTGAGCGGCAGAAAAATTTGGCCGCGACAAGGAAATTTTGTCCATGGTTATGATTATTTCCCACCTAGTCATTTTGACACGTTTGGCACTCTATTTGCAAAATTTAGCAATTCCAGAATACAGACTGTACTTGAGGGTCGATTTCAAAAAAACTCCCCTGGAAAAACGGTTATGTCCCTGTGGAAATGGCAGTATTGAATCAGTAGCTCAACTGCTTCTGGTTTGTACTCTATAAAGATTTGAGGAGTGAGGTTATTACTTATTACCCCTCTACTACTATCCATACCACCATTGCTACTGTGTCCTTTCTTCTAGCACAGAGATGTCTAACTGGTAGATCCCGTGCTGATCCTGGTGGATCGCGGGATCCTTGTGTACAAAAAGTTATGGGGGGGAAAGCTAAAAAACCCCTGCAATCCTCCACCCTGAAAAAGTTCAACAACTCTGGGCAATCCACCCACACAACGCACAATGGGTAGATCACTGCCAGGTTTTTTTTTTATACTGGGAGTAGATCAGAGTCTCTTGGGAGTTGGACATGCCTATCATCAAAATAATCAGGTGACAGCAAAAAAAAAAAAATGCAGGGACAATTGGAATAAGAGCTATTATTTGATTATTGATGTGAACCTCCAGAATGTATTTTCTTCTATCAGATCAAAATGAGCAGATAGCAGCAAAGGTTGCTAGGTTCATAGCAGGGGCAATCAGAATAAGGGCCACTAACTGCTGATTCAGGACTTTAAATTGTGCTTTTATATCAAATTTCCTTTTCTGCGTATACTGTAATGTTTTACTGTTGCTATGGCCACTGGCTAATGCGAATAAAGTTTTATTTCTCTATCCAGAATGTATTTTGTATAGTTAAGTTTTTACCTCTATCTTCAGTACATTTTTATTTTATTGTTATGGCTAGTGGCTGGTGTAAATAAAGATTCTTCTGATGATGAATTAAGAGAGCAAGGTGAGATAGTTTATAAGGAGGACTGGGAAAAGTTTGTAGATTGCTTAATTTTTTTTGTAAACGTGTTAAAACGCAAGGCAGTTTCAAGTAAGAACAGCAGCAAAGTGTACACACTGAGAAGGTAAAGGTAAAGACCCCTGGACAGTTAATTCCAGTCAAAGACAACTATGGGGTTGTGGCGCTCATCTCGCTTTCAGGCCGAGGCAGCCAACGTTTGTCCACATGTGGGTCATGTGGCCAGCATGACTAAACCGCTTCTGGCGCAACGGAACACTGTGAAGGAAACCAGAGCACACAGAAACTATTACCTTCCTGCCACAGTGGTACCTATTTATCTACTTGCACTGGTGTGCTTTCGAACTGCTAGGTTGGTAGGAGCTGGGACAGAGCAACGGGAGCTCACCCACAGGGATTTGAACTGCCAACCTTACAATCAGCAAGCCCAAGAGGCTCAGTGGTTTAGACCACAGCGCCACCCGCGTCCGCCACACTGAGAGGTGGAGGAGAGATGGCATAGTATAATTTTAATATGTAGCAGTATTAGGAAATTTGGTGAAACCATGGAAGGGTGGAGGGGAAGTCGAACATTAATGGAATGCTAATTGGAAAATGTATAATTTGTTTTATTTTCTTTTGGAAAACTTGAGAATTAAAAAGAAAAGGTACAAGTAATCACTATATATGCAAAAAGCTGCCATTTCATATATGCTTGTCTAGTATGTAGGTATGTTATGCAAATACATATATAGCTTTATATGTAGGGGCCAGCCTGTGGAAGCCACAGAGACCTGCTTCTGCATGGACAAGACAAGTGCATCACCCACAAGCAGTTTATCACATGCATCAGCTTTATCATATGTAGAGGATTTTATGCGTCAGCCTTCCTGGTGCCCATTCCAGATCGGTGCTGTCCACTGATGCCAATAAGTGCTGCAGTTTTCCTATGGCAGCACCACTATGAAGATGATTGAAAGGCATATTGACAAGCAGTACGTTTCCGAGCACAATTCAAAGTGTTGGTGCTGACCTTTAAAGCCCTAAACGGCCTCGGCCCAGTATACCTGAAGGAGCGTCTCCACCCCCATCGTTCTGCCCGGACACTGAGGTCCAGCGCCGAGGGCCTTCTGGCGGTTCCCTTGCTGCGAGAAGCCAAGTTACAGGGAACCAGGCAGAGGGCCTTCTCAGCAGTGGCACCTGCCCTGTGGAACACCCTCCTACCAGATGTCAAAGAGAAAAACAACTACCAGACTTTTAGAAGACATCTGAAGGCAGCCTTGTTTAGGGAAGCTGTTAATGTTTAATAGATTATTGTATTTTAATATTTTGTTGGAAGCCGCCCAGAGTGGCTGGGAAAACCCAGCCAGAATATAAATAATATTATATATTATATATGGGAGGATACTGACATGCTGGAATGTGTGCAGAGGAGGGCGACCGAGATGCCCGAGGGTCTGGAAACCAGGCCTTATGAGGAATGCTTGATGGAATAGGGCATGTTTAGCCTGGAAAAGAGTAATCTGAGAGGATATACGATGGCCATCTTCAAATATCTGAAGGGCTATTCCCATGGAAGATGGAGCAGACTTGTTTTCTCCTGCTCCAGAGGGTAGGACCCCAAACCAATGGATTCATGTTACAAGAAAGGAGAACTTTCTGACGGTAAGAGATGTTTGACAGTGGAACGGTCTTTGGGAAATTGTAGACTCTCCGTCCTTGAGAGGTTCCCCCCCCCAAATAATATTTATTATTCTCAGTAGATAAACATAGTAAAAAAGGAAAAGATTAACAATAATAAAGACAATCAAAAAATAAAAGAAAAAGAGAAAAAAGATACATTCAACATATTATCCCTTAATTAATTAAAATTAAGTACCATCCATCTTCATAAACATAGTATTTGACTTCCTCGAATCTCTTCCATCCGAATTTCTTAGTAATTATATGTAGCAGTTTCCAATATCGGTGTTTCAAAAGACCATATCACAGTCCTAATTACATAGAGGTTTTTAAGCAGAGGTTGGATGGCCATCAGTCACGGATACTTTAGTTGATATTCCTGCATTGCAGGGGGTTGGACTAGATGACACTCAGGATCCCTTCCAAATATTATTCTATGGTGTAGGAAAGCTGCATCAATGAATGAATGAGTAGAGAGGGGGAGGGCTACCTTGTGCGTGAGTCGAAGGCTCGTGCAACTTGGCAAAATAACAGTTTCACACACACAACGTAGGCAAAAGGGACGGCTTTTACTATGAAAATAGAAGACCATAACACATTATCTCAGTACAGTTACAGTATTACCAAAGGAGAAAAATAAACCCACATTTTTAAACACAGTGTTTGTTCATTTTTAAGCCACACAGACTACTTCGCAATAAACCATATTCTGGAAAAAGGTTCATCCTGAGGATTTGTATTTTGACTAGGCAAGAATTGCTCCCACAAAGGTGTTTGATTTGCTTTAGAAACAGCCCAAACAGCATTTATGCAAGACACAACAGCTGATGGAACTAAAATTGCCTTACTTTTATGCTCCGCTTGGGACATTTTGGGCTACCAGAGAGAGTTGGGGTTTCTTATTTCCCATCAAGATTCCTCATGCAGAGGAGCCAGAAAAATGAAAGGGTTTCCCCACTTGAGCCATAAGAAAACTGTCCCTGTTTCTGTATACAGTACATGGTTTCAGGGCCAAATCCAGGAGCCCAACCAGTACATGGCAGTCAATAGAGATTTCCTGTTGTATAAATCATCGTGTACACATGCATATGTTCCCTTTAAATTCAGACCACATTGGGTTTCGGCACATCTCCAAAAATGTAGCTTCTGTCACATTTCTGGTGGCATGTGCCTAAAGCAGATCCGGGCTGAGTTCAATAAATAGTGGCTGTTACGCAGACCCAAAAGGGCATCATGGGTTCAGGCTGTTGTGTAAACAGCACCTTCACTGACACTGGACAGCTAAGGAGAGACACAGGTCAAGTTTTCCAAACACGAGTTTCACGTCTCAAAAAAGAATTCCAAGCTAACAAGATGTACAAATACACAACGAACCCTTTTCTGAAGATTTGCTTTCAGTCCCTCTAAAGCAGCATTTAAGCTTTTGTCGCACTCATGGAAAAGCAATCTTCATGCACAAAGCCGCAAGAGCAATCATTAAAACAGATTTGTTAAAAACGACTTACAGAATAAATAAACGTCGCTAAAAAGAAAACAAGGGTTAGGAAGTGGGGAAGTGCAATGATGAAGCCATGTTATAAGGCAAACAAAGGGGAGGGGGAATCCCTTCTAAAAGAGGTGCCAGGTGATGCTATTTTGTGTGCAACCCCTCCCACAAAAAAATACATTACAACTAAGACACACTTTTAAATAGCATTGCCGACACCCCATTGTTGTTTTTGCCAATAGCACAAGAGAAACTTACGCTCACAGCTACATTATAGTGCCTTGTTTTTCACATGTTGTTTTACTTCTACTATTTTTTTAAATGGTATTCGTCAAGAATCTTGCAAAGGTTGACTTGAATGGAAGGCTCACATCCCTGGAGGAGGAAGACTGATTGGATCGGAATTGAACTACGCTCAGCAAACACAAGATTCACCTGTTCCCAGACTACCACTTCACACTTGAGGGGGGCAAATAAATATCTGAATATCCCTATTTTATTTTATTTTTTAAAACACCTTCCTGCACGCCACAGAACTAGTATAAAGGGAAGGTTGGTTCAAAGCAACTTTCTCCTTGACATGTTAGTTTTGCATGTGCACAATGCGCTCTTGCTTTTTATTCTGGGGAACGTTTAAGCACGCAATCCCCACCTGGAGTCTGAAGAAGGTGCAATCCAGCGACAGATGCATCACCAGAGTCTGATAGTTGTGTAAACTCAGTTCTCACAAGAGCAACATGGGAAGAAGGGAAACATTAGCTGGACCATCTCTCAGACTAAATACATTCTGTCAAAGCTTGTGTACTTGGATCCAAGTCTGACCACACAACTACCTCTAGAATCTAGCAAATTATGTGCCCAATTGCATTAACCTAGCTATGCCTATGAAGGACAGTGGGAAGACAGTTTCAAACTATGCGAGTGCTCCTGTATCTTAAAACTGTAGCATGGAAAACACCCTTAAAATACTCCTTTGAATGTTCTGTGTGTCCAAGACACACTGGGCTGTTCATATACCGTATGTATGATCCAACTCTTAAAGCCTTGAGGGTGTGTTTAGGAGAAAAGGGCCATTCTGTTCTGCTTTCTGTTGAGAAGTGTGGCATAAGCACTGCTGCAGGAACAGTCCACACACCTCAGTGAAATTCAGGAGACTTTACCCAAAGAACAGTAGCTGGCTTGCACAGCTCCAATGAATTTACTGGAGCTTGTGCAAACTCTGGTAAATTACGCTTTTTGTAATCACAACCTTTGCTGGTGCAAAAAAATCATCTCTTTGCTGTATGAGCATGCAATCATCTTGGGAGACAAAAAATTATGCAAAGAGGTGAAGTAGGGGAAATGGCAGAGAAGACATTAGCATAATGCCAATCTAATACTAAGTGATGCTTGTCCGGCAGCTCATCAGTCTGCTGAGAACATTTGAATTAAATCTGTTCAGAAATGTACCCCGTACGCTTGATTGGTTTAATTTCTTTCATCGCAAATGTCTTCCATCCCTTTTGGCAGGCAGAAGAGCCATTAAGGACAGCGAGTGTGGAGTGCCAGATATAAACCCCGATATCTCATTGTTGCTTCTACACAAAATGAGGCGGTCAAGAAATCCTAATCCGTTTCCCAAGTCTGTTTAAAACTAGAGCTGCTGTCGCCTGGTGCTTATCGGAAGAAGTTTCTCCGTAGTAAACAGGGAACAATGCCCACTCCCCATTTCCCACGGTCACCACTATTTTAGGTAGCAACTCATTCAAGAGATTAAAAAAACCACACAGCCAGGCACCAAATAAGTCTTTGTACTAAATGTACAATCAGTTGGAAAATCAGTTTTGCAACAGCTGTACACATAGCGGATCTATAGTTAAGGGTGGCTCAGTCGGGTGGAAGCCGTGGCCGGACTGCTCACTGACCACGTTGCATGCCAAACGCAAGCCTTGCATCTGGTCAGGTCAAAATGCAGCTTAGCACTGGTGAAGCCCACACTGAAACTGCCCCTTGTTTTAAGAGGCACAGTTCTTGCTATTATGTTGTAAAATAAAGCCAGTTGAAGCTAATTCCTAAATGCATGCCTCCATCCAAAGTTTGGGAGTGTATGCGTTTTCGAATGCAGAATTTCCATGCGAACTGGGAATGACCTGTACAGGAGGCTGAAATTTAAATATGGGAAGACCACCCCGATGCCGATGCCATTGGGACAGAGCTCTGAGGATGCACTGGAGGGCCAGGATTTGGGGCTACGGAGTGTAAGCACCCCGCAGAGAAAAACTTTGAAAAGGCAAAATTGGAACATTGTAGAAGCCAACACTGGTACGCAGGGTGTAGAACCTTTGGCCCTCCAGATGTTGCTGAACTCCAACTCCCATCAGCCCCAGCAAGCATGGCCAATGGCCAGGGATGATGGGAGTTCCAGTTCAGCAACATCTAGAGGGTCAAAGGTTCTCACACCCCTAGTATAGATTCAAGAGACTTAGGTCACTTTCACACTGTGGACTCTGTGCTGTTCACGCATAAAAGTTTTTTGCTGCATCCCTGAAACATCATCCTCATCAAAATGCCACCCCATAATTTAGCCCACTGCATTTAAGCCAGTTTGATTGTCTGGGGTTTTTTTTGCGAGGAGGGTGTTACTTGTTGGGTTTTCTGGAAGATTTTCTGGATTTTTAAACTGGAAAATAATATGGGAGGCATTGTGACATTGTGTGGATGCTGCATTTGTGAACAACACAGACTTCACAATAAACTGCCATGTGGAAGCACTCTAAAACCATGCTTGCTGGCAAGGTTGTTCTTCTTTTTGTTTTTGTAGCAGAGCTAAGAAGGGCAAAGTTGCTTACTCAAAGCTCAGAACAGACAACTCGCCATGTTTACCTGCAAAGGAAGCTGGTAGCCCGTCCTAAAATCTGACATTGCTCAATTGAGGCCACAAAGCTCAGCACATCAGACAACTGCAAGGGCCATCAGGCCACATATAAAATAGGCAAGCAGAGTACAAAAAGGGATGAAGAGATTTGGTAGCCAGCTTAAGGCCCAGTTAATGCATGCAGCAGGATCAAGAGGTAAAACCATTTCTGCGCTGTACCACTTTAAGATGCTGGAAGGTTCCCTGTTTGAATGTTTTCTCCATCAAAAACAAGTTCTGTGCAAGCAGAAAAGCAGCACATGCCAGAAGGCTAGGCCGAATCTTTCTGACATGCTCATTTTCTACACTCGGTGAGTTTATTCGTTTCCAATATAGATAAAGAAGATCATTTGCAGTCTGAAGTGAGGCAGCTCAGAAGAAGCTCTACCACTAAATATATAAACTGGGTCTATATAACAGGAATGACAAGATAATTAAGGATTTCCTGTATATGGTTAAGTCACCCTGAGGACTGTAAAAGTGAATTTTTTATTTTAAAAAATCAGTATAAGTTTTTGTATCTTGGTTCCAGATAAGTCACTTCCATCCATTGGAATGCAAATCGTCAGAAGGAACATCTACACCAGGAGCAATCCAGGCAATTATTACGGGGCAAGGCTTAAAAATACTTTTGCCGTTGTTGAAAAAAATCAAAGTCTCAAAATGTTCCTGGTTTTAAATCTGTTCTGGAAAGAGATTCCCTGCAGAATTTCAGGTGCCACCTGAGGAACATGCCCCCTTTGGTGAGTCACTGTGTTTTGGGTGGGTGCGCCGTAGATTCTGGCCAATCATACAAATCCGGCAGAAACGATTCATACTTGTAGTTCCAGATCCTCGACCGTATGTGCTTGTTCTTGTCTGCAGGCTCAGGGTAATGGAACGCCATGTTGTTGGCATACAAAAATTCCATAACCTGGAGCGGGAGGAAATCAGATTATTGATCTGCAAGATTCCCATGATCTATCTCAGAGTTGTGGAACACAGAAAGCTGCCTTATGCTGGTCCATCTCCTTCAGTATTGTCTACACCCTGGCTAGCCAACCTGGTGCCCTTCAGATGCTGGACTACAAAACCCATCATCCATGACCGTCGGACCATGATGGCTGGGGCTAATGGGAGTTGGAGTCAGGCAACAAAGGGTGCCTCTCTATGGTTTCACATGGGTCTCTCTCAACCCTGCCTGCAACTGGATCTGGGACTGTCCGCACGCAAAGAAGATGTTCTGCCACTGAGATGCAGTCCTCCTTGTGGTCCTCCAGCTTGCCGTTGGACCCTCCAGCTCCCATCAGCTTCAGCCAGCAAGGCCAACCATCAGGGATGATGGAAGCAACATCTGTGGAGAGCCACAGATTCCCCATCACTGGTGTCTTCCTATTGAAATATTTTGTTTCCAACCACGAGCAGCCAATTGCTTCTGGAAGCTCACAGACAAGGCTTGAAGATGGCCTTGGCATTTTGGGCCCAGACGTGTGCTACCTTTGTCCTTCAAGGTTTCTGTTCAATGATGATCGTCATTATCCAAACCTTGTTCGGACACCTAGAATGGGCAGTTTAGGTTCATCCCACACAATCAATTCCAGCCCCTAGAACATCATTGGTTGTCCCAACCCGCTCCACCCTGAGATATTCAGAAAACTTAAGGTGGGCTGTACATCTATCCAAACGCTCCTCCTGCCACCCCCAAAATTGCACTTACTTTAACGGCAATGTTAATGGAAACCTCCCGGATGTTTGCAAGAGGAGGATAAAGCCGTCCCTCAGCAAGTTCTTCCTCAGTCAGCTGCTCTGTTAACGCCTTTTTTAATACAAAGAGAAAAACATTACACAGGAACGAACCAACATCTGGGGTTACACTGGTCCTGGGCCATTTAAGGCTTTAGAGACGATACCAACACTTTGGCTGAGGCCTGGAAATGGCTCTCAAGCCAGTGAAGTTGCTGCAATAATGGGAGCCACGCAATCGCAGTAACCGGCTCCGGTCTACATCCTTGCTGCTACGTTTTTGAACCAGAGGACGTTTCTAAACTGTCTTCCAAGGCAGCCCCATGTAGAGCACATTGTGGTAGCCCTGATCTAACCAAGGCATTTGACGTCATGGAGCAAACTCCTCGCTTCTAGCCTCTTAAGCCAACCAATGCACAGGTCAGTTTTGAACTCATATTCTATCTTTTCCATTTGAAAATCCCCTCACACGTGTGGAAACTGCAATGCACGTACTATTTCACCCACCAGGAGTTTTGCCTTCGGACCACTTACCTTTGCAGCCTCCAGGAAAACTTGATCGCTAATGTGCCGAACCCCACTGAGAATAACAGCAAGAGCAACGCCTAAAGAACAGAGACATTCAAAGTCGTTTTGCAAAATCGTCTGGATTTGGGGAACTGAAAGGCTTTTATGCCGCTGTTTGCGTAGAAGCTTACAGCAGTGTTTATTTTTATAAGCGTCGCTACCAACAATGCTCAGCACTGAAAGCCAATAGCATGAAGGGAACTGAAGAAGAAGAAGAAGAAGAAGAAGAAGAAGAAGAAGAAGAAGAAGAAGAAGAAGAGTAGTAGTAGTAGTAGTAGTAGTAGTAGTTCGGATTTGATATCCCACTTTATCACTACCCTAAGGAGTCTCAAAGTGGCTAACAATCTCCTTTCTCTTCCTCCCCCACAACAAACACTCTGTGAGGTGAGTGAGGCTGAGAGACTTCAGAGAAGTGTGACTGGCCCAAGGTCACCCAGCAGCTGCATGTGGAGGAGCAGAGACGCGAACCCGGTTCACCAGATTACGAGTCTACTGCTCTTAACCACTACACCACACTGGCTCTCTGTGGGGCAGCACGGAATTCCCTGATGCCCTTGTGGCAAAAAATATTTTTTATTATGAACTTGTAACCTGCCATCACAAAGCCCATCTCGCAATGCAAGAGGCCTTTGGATTATTACAAGTCAAAATTGTCTCTTAACAAACTGCTTTACCTGGAAATATGTATGCATTGTTTCCTTGTCCAGGTTTGAAGGATCGCCCATCACTCAGCTTCACTGGCTCAAAAGGGCTGCCGCTTGCGAACAGACAACGCCCCTGTCGAATAGAAAAAAGAGGGAACGATTCATCAGGAAGTCACTTCTGCAAGAATAAGGGCAATACAGTACAGATGAAGTTCCACTGCAATTTTATACATGTGAGTATTTGTACACTGGGCAGACACAACACTTTTAGCTACACCAAGAGGTGCTCACACGTGTCTCCAGCCAAATAATATTACAAACTGCCAGGGTGGATTTGATTTAAGTCAGTAAGACTTGGTTTAAATCATTTAATTTTTTTTACATAAAGGCATTCCTGCTGGTATAATCTTAATATTTACAACCAGATGAAGGTTTCATTTTTGGAATAATAAATTTTCAGAGTAGTTTTTATGGTTATATCAAAAATTACTGATTTGGTTGTACTATTAGAAATAAAGGTAAAGGTAAAGGGACCCCTGACCATTAGGTCCAGTCACGGATGACTGGGGTTGCGGAGCTCATCTCGCTTTATTGGCCGAGGGAGCTGGCGTACAGCTTCCGGGTCACGTGGCAAGCATGACTAAGCCGCTTCTGGTGAACCAGAGCAGCGCACGGAAATGCAGTTTACCTTCCCGCCGGAGCGAATAAGTTAACTGTTTTTATATTTGGACAACTTTTCTGCTGTACTTTATTGGAAGGAGAAAAGTAATCATTTCCTTAATAACAATTTAAACCATTTATTTAACTAAAACAATAACATTATAGCATATGTATCCATGTTTGTTAACTGATGTGGTTAAACATAAAGGGGAAAAAACTTAGACTGAGTTTCAATGAAAAGCATTCAATGAAAAGCTTAAAACAAATCCTTATTTCCTGATGGCCTTTGGACTATAATGTAACTTAAATAGAAAACTATCTTTAGAAAGACTTTTTCCTCCAAAAACATTTTTTAAAAAAATCTAATTTAAATTGATTTAAATAAAAAATATATAAATCATTGATTTTTATCCACCCTGCAAAATGCATTACAGCAGAATCTCACCCCATTGGCAAACCTACCAGATATCTATAGGCTGGACCCATGTTTCCTTAGGGCCTTTGGAAGTGTGTAAGCCCAACAATACGACAGTTAACTTTTGCAAAAAAAGCGGGGGGGGGGGATAATATTGCCCTATTCAGTCCGTGTGTTTTGGATCTGGTGTGTGTGGATCATAAGTGATTATGACATCCAATGTGTGGGTGTCTGGTACACCCAGAGGTAGGGCAGATATTCTTGCTCGGCAGCTGAGATTCTACTTCACCATGCCGATTCCATATCTAGTTAGAGCCTAATCAGAAGTTGCTGCTGGTATCCATCTGTCTCAAGGGACAATGGAGTGCGCCTCTGGGGATTATCGTCTTCCAAAGCAACTACTCTATTCTGAACCTAAAAATGGAAAGCGTAATGCTGGTGGTCATCAAGAGGTTTAAAGACTCTCTCAAGGGAAATCTAAAAAAAATGTAGTAGAAACACCGACAACCGGGGTGCAGGTCGGAGCTAAACATTATAAGTTGAGAGCGTTTGCAGATGACTTAGTATTGACTTTGCAAGAGCCAAACACTAGCACGAAAAAGGCTTTAGAAATAATACAACAGTTTGGCCAGGTAGCTGGATTTAAGTTGAATAAGCAAAAAACAAAAGTTTTAGGGAAAAATTTAACAGATATGGAAAAGGAGAAATTTCAAGAGGAGACAGGTTTGACAGTGGTTAAGAAGGTGAAATACCTAGGGGTATACTTAACATCTAAAAATTTGAATTTGTACAAGGACAACTATGAAAAATGTTGGTCAGAAATTAAAAGAGATCTAGAAATATGGTCAAATTTGAAATTGTCAATGTTAGGCCGAATTGCAGTGATTAAAATGAATGTATTGCCTAGAATGTTATTTTTGTTTCAGACCTTGCAGATTCTTGACAAGATGGAATGTTTTAAGAGGTGGCAGAAAGATATTTCGAAATTTGTCTGGCAGGGCAAAAAGCCCAGAATTAAATTTAAAATATTGACAGATGCTAAAGAAAGAGGGGGGTTTGCCCTGCCGGACTTAAAATTGTATTATGAGGCAGCAGCTTTTTGCTGGCTGAAGGAATGGATGCTCCTCGAGAACACAGACATCTTGGATCTGGAAGGCTTTAATAATGTTTTTGGTTGGCATGCATATTTATGGTATGACAAAATTAAGCAGCATAGTGCCTTTAAAAATCACATTGTTAGAAAAGCACTGTTTAATGTATGGATGAGATATAAAGATCTGTTGGAAAACAAAACCCCTAGATGGGTGTCACCAGTCGAGGCTAAAGCAGTAAAGAAACTCAATATGGAGGTCGGATGGCCGAAGTATTGGGAAATTTTGGAACAGGATGGAGATAAGTGGAAATTACAAAGTTATGACAAATTGAAGGATAAAGTACAAAACTGGCTTCAATACTACCAAGTAATGGAGCTTTTCAAACAGGACAGGAAAATTGGCTTTCAAGTGGATAAATCAAAACTAGAAATTGAACTGCTAGAACCCAACACTAAGAATTTATCAAGAATGTATAATTTGTTGCTGAAATGGAATACACAGGATGAAACGGTGAAATCAGCCATGATTAAATGGGCACAAGACATTGGTCATGACATTATGTTTGCCGACTGGGAACAGTTATGGACCACCGGTGTTAAGTTTACGGCATGTAATGCCTTAAGAGAAAACATAATGAAAATGATTTACAGGTGGTACATGACCCCAGTCAAGCTGGCAAAAATTTATCATCTGCCCGATAACAAATGTTGGAAGTGTAAAGAGACTGAAGGTACCTTCTACCACCTTTGGTGGACATGCCCGAAGATTAAGGCCTTCTGGGAAATGATCTATAATGAAATCAAAAAGGTACTCAAATGTACCTTCTTGAAAAAACCAGAGGCCTTTCTCTTGGGCATTGTCGGCCAATTGGTGACAAAGAGGGATAGAACTTTCTTTATGTATGCTACAACAGCAGCAAGAATACTCATCGCAAAGTATTGGAAGACCCAAGATCTACCCACTTTGGAAGAATGGCAGATGAAAGTGATGGACTATATGACACTGGCCGAGATGACAGGCAGAATCCGTGACCAACGAAAAGAGACGGTGGAAGAAGAATGGAGAAAATTTAAAAGTTATCTTAAGGACTACTATAAACTTAATGAATGCTAAAATGTTGCGGTTTCCAGAAACAAAGGGATACAGGGATATAAGGTTAGAAATGTAAAAAAGGTCTAAGAAGATAGAGATTGGTAAATAACAATTGGGAGTTGCTAGTTGAACTTTGGACATTGGGATGCAGAGAGGGGGGGTATGGGGAAGTCAAAGGAAAGAAGTTTATGAAAATATGTTTGAAACTATACGTGTATGTTTGTCATTTTTGGTGTTTGTTTGTTTTTTGTTTAAAAAGTTTCTAAAACCAATAAAAATTTTATATAAAAAAAAAAAAGAAACACCGACAACCGGGAAACACTGGCCTGCGAATGCTCCAGTTGGAGAACAGCCTTTACCAAAGTTGTCATGGGCTGTGAAGATGCTCAAACTCAGGATGCAAGGGAGAAACGTGCTAAGAGGAAGGCACGCTTGGCAAACCCTCACCATGATCAACTCCCACCCAGAAACCAATGTCCCCACTGTGGAAGGACGTGTGGATCCAGAATTGGCCTCCACAGTCACTTACGGACTCACTGTTAAGACTTTGTTCATGGAAGACAATCTTACTTGGCTATGAATGATCATTGAAGGAGGAGGAGGAGGAGGAGGAGGAGGAGGAGGAGAAGAGAAGAAGAAGAAGAAGAAGAAGAAGAAGAAGAAGAAGAAGAAGAAGAAGAAGAAGAAGAAGAAGAAATCAAACCACTGTGTTAGCAGCACCCAAGTGACCTCCCCGGCGTGCAAAGCTGGGCAGTGTGTCTCTTGAGGTCCTCGGGAGAGAGGGAAAGGACCATTAATACCAGTTCTCTGCAGGTGAGCTGATCAGCCACACTAGCGCACGAGTCACAACCACATAATGAGAGCCAGTGTGGTGTAGTGGTTAAGAGCAGTAGTCACGTAATCTGGGGAACCGGGTTCGCATCTCCGCTCCTCCACATGCAGCTGCTGGGTGACCTTGGGCCAGTCACACTTCTTTGAAGTCTCTCAGCCCCACTCACCTCACAGAGTGTTTGTTGTGGGGGAGTAAGGGAAAGGAGATTGTTAGCCGCTTTGAGACTCCTGAAGGGGAGTGAAAGGCGGGATATCAAATCCAAACTCTTCTTCTTCATAATGTCTTCAGCACAGAAGGTGCTTCCTGATCAAGCTTCCGGCAGCTCAGTCAAACAAGTCAAGTTGCACAGTCCAGGAGAAAGGCTGTGATGACCAGTGATGCTTCAAGTTATTTGGCTCACCTCTGTTAATGTGTATGCCTCCTCAGCGGTGCACTCGGCTTTCGCAGTAGGGTTACTCAGTGCAAATATGATCGGTCTCTGGTTGATGGAGCCCATCGCTTTGAGAACGTCGTGGGAGAAGAGTCGGCCTGCGCCTGCGACCCCTGGAAGAAGCAAATAACATGATGCCTTTTCCCCCGCCCTCCTGCCAAAAAGAGGCTCACATGCACTTTTTTGAAAAATGGTAGCAATAAGACACTGGAACACTGCAAGTATTTCTGCGCCCACTGGGTTGGACACAGCACGGCCACTCTGCTCCTTATTTCTCATGCTCCTCCTTGCCTCAATGCCAGTGGAATATGAAAGCAGTTACTGCTGGACAGGCAACACACGGACTCAGCAAGGTCTTGTCTCATGGCAAGTTCGTATATTCCCTTGTCTCCACACGTAACTGACAGGGACAAGGGTGGCGCTGTGGTCTAAACCACTGAGCCTCTTGGGCTTGCCGACTGAAAGGTCGGTGGTTCGAATCCCCACGACGGAGTGAGCTCCTGTTGCTCTGCCCCAGCTCCTGCCAATCTAGCAGTTCAAAAGTACGCCAGTGCAAGTAGATAAATAGGTACCACTGTGGCGGGAAGGTAAATGGTGTTTCTGGGCACTCTGGCACTTGTCACGCCTCAGATGATGCATACAGAGTCTGGGATGGTTTATATGGGGAGGGGCAGTCCTTGAGGTATTGAGGTCCTGAGCCACACCTCTGTGGGAAGTTGCACAACTTTAGGGGCTACAACAGAGAATGCCCCCATCCCAGCAAGCTTCTGAGTGGAGAAACTATCAAGAGGGGCCCCTCTGTTGATCTTAATATCCAAGAGGGACTGTAGGGAAGGAAGCGGTCTTTCACGATATTTGTGGCCTACACCTCTTAGGGCTTTAAGCATCAAGAGGACCTGGGCCCAGAAATATTCAACCAAATGCCTACGGGAAGTCATTAAACAGGGCCTGCCACCTCTGATCCTGGAGGCAGTATCTAGCCACTAGTACTAGCAGCCACTGATAAATTTATAGAGGATAAGGCTCAGTTCTGCTTTATCAGGAATAGCATGGCACAGGATGACCAACACACCCATACTGAGAGTTCAGTTGGGATGCGGGTGGCGCTGTGGTCTAAACCACTGAGCCTCTTGGGCTTGCCGATCAAAAGGTCGGCGGTTTGAATCCCTGCAATAGGGTGAGCTCCTGTTGCTCTGTCCTAGATCCTGCCAACCTAGCAGTTCGAAAGCACACCAGTGCAAGTAGATAAATAGGTACTGCTCCGGCGGGAAGGTAAATGGTATTTCCGTGTGCTCTGGTTTCCATCACAGTGTCCCGTTGCACCAGAAGCGGTTTAATCCTGCTGGCGACATGACCCAGAAAGCTGTCTGTGGACCAACGCCAGTTCCCTTGATCTGAAAGCGAGATGAGTGCCGCAACCCCATAGTTGCCTTTGACTGGACTTAACCGTCCAGGGGTCCTTTACCTTTTACCTTACTGAGTGTTCACACGGGTGTCCCCTCAGGCCTGTTGACGGTACAAGCACACACAGGCCAGTCACCGTGGAAAATATAATTCTTGTAGGTCTGGTGCTCAGTAACCACATAGCCTCCTTTGGGAAGGCAGCCCTGTTTAGGGAAGCTTTTAATGTTTGTTGCATTACTGTATTTTAATATTTTGTTGGAAGCTGACCAGAGTGGCTGGGGAAGCCCAGCCAGATGGGAGGAGTATAAATAAATTATCCACTTGACATTAAAAGCCCTCCCTGAAAGCATCAGTATTATTATTACTGGGCTGCTAACCCGATATGAGAAGCATCCGCAACACTCACCAATGATAGCTGAAGGCTGAAGCACATTCACTGCTTCTAAGAAGGTCTTTGGCACCTGGTCTGGGGCTGCGTGAGTAAAGGACTCTTGGTTGGCGTCGACTGTTTGTTCCCGACCCTAGACATTTTAAAAATAAAGAGTTATTGAGAGTTGGCAGGGCAGGGGGTGGGGTGGGAAGAGTAGAGCAATAAGATTGTGCCCAACCAAACCCCAAGCCTCACCTGAACCAATAAGCCGTATTTGTCGAACATCCATATTTTCTTATAAGCTTCTTCCGGAGAAAGACCGCTTTCCACCATAGCCATGACGATGAGATTTGCAATTCCAAGGGCAGCCTGATAAATAAGAGAAATGCTGGGGAAATACCGTATTTTTCTGTGTATGAGATGCCCCCATGTATAAGATTTTGGGGGACTCCAATATAAGAAAATGTGGGGGAAGATGTATAAGACGAGCCCCAATTTTGAACATTATTTTAGAGACAACTGAAGGCGGCCCTGTTAAGGGAAGTTTTTAATGTCTGATGTTGTATTGATTTTAATATTCAGTTGGAAGCCGCCCAGAGTGGCTGGGGAAACCCAGCCAGATGGGTGGGGTATAAATAATAAATAATAATAATAATAATTATTATTATTATTTAAAAAAACATAGTCTTACACACAGAAAAGTATAGTATGTCACTCTGCAGAGCTGCTGACCAACTGCCTTTCAATAAATTAGTTAAGTAGCCTGGAGCAAGGCAAACCATGAGCTCGGGTGCAGATGATGCACTTAGCCAAAGCATGGTTTAGCTCAAGGCATCAGCAGGAGGACCAGGAGTGAGACAGCTTACAATCATTTCTCCAGGAATACTTGTGAGCATGTACTAAGCCACAGTTTGGCTTGGTGGGTCGTGTGAAACAGGCCAATATTATACGTGCAAAGCTTTCTGTAATCCCTTATTGTGTTTGATCATTGCAACAAAGCTGTAAAAGGTCAGTCGCAACCCTTTTCCAGCTGGGAAAGAACTACCGTATTTTTGCTCTATAAGACTCACTTTTCCCCTCCCAAAAAGTAAGGGGAAATATGTGTGCGTCTTATGGAGCGAATGCAGGCTGCGCAGCTATCCCAGAAGCCAGAACAGCAAGAGGGATTGCTGCTTTCACTGCACAGCGATCCCTCTTGCTGTTCTGGTTTCTGAGATTCAGAATATTATTTTTTCTTGTTTTCCTCCTCCAAAAACTAGGTGTGTCTTGTGGTCTGGTGCGTCTTATAGCGCGAAAAATACGGTGCATGCCTCACTCACCTCTCCTGCACCAAGGAACAAGATCTGGTGCTCTGTAATTGGTTTACCAAGAACTTTCTGCGCCGCCAACAACCCAGCTAAGGCCACCGAAGCTGTCCCTGTGAAAGGAACAGACCTTGCTGAAAAGGGCTGGAATAAAAGAGGCGTCTACAAATACAGCCAGCAAAATATCATCAAAACAGATACCCAAGAGGGGCTGATTTACCCTGTATATCATCATTGAAGGTACAATATTTCTCTCTGTATTTCCTCAAAAAGCGGAAAGCGTTGTGGTTTCCAAAGTCTTCAAACTGAATGAGGGTGTTTTGGCCGTACCTAGAGGGCAGCATGAGAAATACGGAGTCAATAGCTGTGCTGCAAAGGGCACAATGTTTTAATACTTTGTGCGTGTTCATGCATGACTTGGAAACAACCATGTAAGAATCTTGCCACGTAAGGAAACAAGGCAAGAAAACCTTTGTAGATCTAAGCTGCCGATTCTCTTCTTAACTTAGTTACTTTACAGTGAATTGGTTGGTCCATCTAGCCAACTATGGCCTTTCTTATTTTTTACTTTTACTTTGCTTCAGGACGAGAACAGAAATCGTGCTCTGGCGGTGCGGCAGCAGCAGGAAGCCCCATTAGCTAAAGTGTTGCTTCAGGTTAAGAACAGTTTCAGGTTAAGAACGGACCTCCGGAACAAATTAAATACGTAACCAGAGGTACCACTGTACTTGGAACATGGGTTGATGTTTGTGATTATTGGAACGCATACCTGTCTACAATGGCTTCCATGAACTCGTCGATGAGTTCATCGTACAGCTGAGAGCGGTCTCGCTTCTGGTAAAGCCCCATATAAAACGGGTCATGCAGAAGCGTCTGTGGAAAACGAAGAACAAAAGCCATTAAAGGAAGCGCTTAGATCATTCTGCAGTACCCTGCTCTACAGAGGACTTACTTATTTTGTGCCATTTCCCAGGAAGTGTGGACTCTGGCAGCAGATATCAAGTAGCCTTTCACACCTTAGTCAAAGTTTAAACGCGTCACCATCTCTTTAAAAATAAAACCAAGAATACTACACTCCCAGACGAGGACCACCGTCCCCACCATGTCCCACTACCCAAGGACCCCAGACAGAAAAACATCTGGCTGAGTTGGCTTAATAATGAGCATTATGGGAGAAATAACTGCAAAAGAAGAATGGCAGATGAAACTGATGGAATATGAGGAGATGGCGAAACTGATGGGGAAGATCCGAAACCAGGAAGATCGAGTATTTTCTAAGGACTGGAGTAAATTTGTAATTTATTTAAAAAACCACTGTAAACAGTTAAAACCTTTGGCAGGGATGTAATGACACTTGTAATGTGGAATTATTTATGGTAATTATGGTTATATAATAGATGGATAATAGTAAAAGATGCAGCAAATTTAAACTTAAACATGGAACCCATGGAGGGAGAGAAGGAGATCCAAAAGTTCAAAAGAACCTTGTATTTTAATGTTTGAAATGGTTATGTTTTATATGTATAAAATTATCCAAAAAAAGCCTAATAATAATAAGCTTTATATGTATTTCATGTGTATTTTAATGAACAGAATAGTGTTAAAGATTATGAGTCATAGGTTGTGGAGTGTGTGTTATGAATTTAACAGTGCTTAGCTTATTTTCTTATAGCTGTTATTTTGTTAATGTTGTTAATATTGTTTAATAAAGTATAAATGTTGGATTGATTTGTTAATCATATAATACAACATTTCCTGTAATCTTGACTTTTTTAAGTTGCTGCTTTGTTAATAGTGTTTTATAGATTGTAACTGTTTTATGATTTGCTAACTATTTTATATGATTTATACTGTATTTGTGATGTCCTATTAAGTTTTATTACATTACTGTTATTTATTGTTTGCAAGCCGCTTTGGGATTCGTCCGAACGAAAATTGGCATAGAAATGCAATCAATCAAATCAATCAACCATTCTGCAAGAAAAGAGTGTCTACCCAGGCAGTAGAATTGGATGGTGGAATGAATGAATGGCCTGCACCACCTCAGACTGTAAAACGGAGAGGACTACATTGTTTTCAAATGCTACTCTACATGAAACTCCCTCTGCAGAGAGAAAACCAGCCTAGGCAAATGCTAGAACCAGGTTGTCCTATGTCTAGCTTTCATCTTGCAGAGAAATCCATCAAATCAAATCAAAATCCAACCTGCCATGAAATTCTTGAGAGGACCCACGGCTCTGGAAAAGGCTAAAAAGATAAAAGGTAAAGGACCCCTGGACGGTTAAGTCCAGTCAAAGGAGATTATGGAGTTGCGGCGCTCATCTCGCTTTCAGGCCGAGGGAGCTGGCATTTGTCCACAAACAGCTTTCCAGGTCATGTGGCTAGCAGGACTAAACCACTTCTAGAGCAACGGAAACACCGTGACAGAAACCAGAGCGCACGGAAATGCCGTATACCTTCTCGGCGCAGCAGTACTTATTTATCTACTTGCACTGGTGTGCTTTCAAACTGCTAGGTTGGCAGGAGCTGGGACAGAGCAACGGGAGCTCACTCCATCGTGGGGATTCAAACCACCGATCTTCCAATCAGCAAGCCCAAGAGGTTCAGTGGTTTAGACCACAGTGCCACCAGTGTCCCTGACTGGAAAAGGCTAGGGCTTTTTGTGGCAAACCAAGTGGCAAACCAAAATGTGGAAGTCTAAATAACAACACCCCATAAACAAAGGGAAGGCCAAACCTCCCACTAGGTCTGAGCGATGTAGCGATACAAAACTGGTATCGGGAGAGGGGATGAGGCAGTGTTGTAACTTACCTGATTGTCTGTGCCGACATCGATACACACAGGGAGGCACTTGTCGGGTTGTATTCCAGCACATGCTGTGTATAAGCAGAGCTTGCCAACAGGAATCCCCATCCCATACACACCCAGATCACCAAGGCCCAATATCCGTTCTCCATCTGTGACGACAACAGCCTTGAAGGCACAAGGGGGAAATTAACTTCAGGCACACGGGTAAAAGATGGAAGAGGTACAGTATAAATCTCTACAGTCTTTCTTTTCTGGTAGGTAAGAATGTTTAGGCTGAAGAAGCAATTGTTTTCCTAATTAGGATAGGGATACTAGGAGTACCTGGCAAGCTTAACTATTAAATCAGTTTGTTCCCCTTTCCCAGAGAATCCTGAAACCCTTAGTTCAGGGGTGAGGAGGAGCAACCAAGAAATTTCTCAGCTCCCTGACTAAACCATAGGCATAAGAGGGGACGATGAGATGTCACTTTGAGATTGCAAAGAGGTGGGGGCTGCACAAATAAAAAAAAGAATAGACTTGGATTGCCTTGGATTGGGGAACAGGGGGACATGCATGTGGGATGTGATACGTAAGTAGCAGTCAAGTCCAACATTCCTTGTTTTCCTAGAGAATACGTGCAGGGGAATGTTTGGTCCAGCCAGTCGAAAACTTCCTGTTTCCTCCTGGCGTGGAGCATCCTTCCTCTTGCATGTGACTAGAGGTGGGCGTGACCTTACCTGTCTAGGTAACAAACGGACAAGGCACGCAACACACCTTCTATTTTTTACTTCTTCTGTTGTTGGAGCAGTTCTTTTTAGCTAGAAATGCTCTGTTGGCATTCTGCCAACTGAGGACACCGGAATTATCCCCATATGGGATAGATCAACAGGTATATACTTTGTAACTAAGTCTGCCTTCAGGAATCCAACTGTGAACTGATGATGTGAGTAAACTTCTTTTACAGTGGTACCTTGGGTTAAGAACTTAATTTGTTCTGGAGGTCTGTTCTTAACCTGAAACTGTTCTTAACCTGAGGTACCACTTTAGCTAATGGGGCCTCCTGCTGCCACTGTGCCACCGCCGCACGATTTCTGTTCTCATCCTGAAGCAAAGTTCTTAACCCGAGGTACTATTTCTGGGTTGGCGGAGTCTGTAACCTGAAGTGTCTGTAACCTGAAGTGTCTGTAACCTGAAGTGTCTGTAACCCAAGGTACCACTGTATATACTTTACACAAGATTGTGGCGTGTTCATTCTTTTAAGAGGGATATAAGGGAACTTACCAGGAACCTAATATTGAGAGGTTTAAACAAGCCTGCAACCAGCTATCTGCTGTGTGTTTAAAAGGGGAATGTAAAACTCTGCTGTTATAGAACTTGCTAGCGCAAGTTCTGAAGGATATTAATAAACAATATATCCTCTCCTGCCTCCCTGAACATTCCCACAATGCACACACATTTTAGAAAGCTCTGTCAATTATAGAGAAGCAAGGAGATGCAAACAGTTGCCTAAATCAGTTTTCCCCCACCTGGTGGAGCCTAGCTGTTTGGCTCAAAGAGTAAGCACAGTGGGTCTCACAAAAATGGTCCTGTTTTGATGAGTTCCTAAGTTTCATACTCAGAAACCCAGAAGCGGAGCACATGTTTGTCAAGACATGGGACAAGGTGGCTGTGCAATATTCATAGTTCTTGCATGACACAAATCCCTGACTGCAAGACAAATAACCCCCGGTATTTATCTATCCAGTTTCCCCATTGCTGAAAAAGCAAAGCTGGAATTAAGAGAAGCACACACATATGAGAAGAGGATGCATCGTACCTTCACATCGTTTTCTGGCCAGTTATTCACAACTGATCTGATATGGCCCCTATCTGTTATGGCAATGAATAATCCTCTGCAAGAAAATAGAAACATATCACTCACTGATGCCTTCAAATCATTCCTTTTCTTTGCAGTGTGAGCTTAGCAAAGGGCACCCTCTCAATTAATAAATCAAGCTAAAGATAGTGCTTTTAAAAAAAAGAAGACGACACAATGAATATTAGATTGGAATTTTGGAATGTATTATTAAAAGGTTATGGCGTTTGGAAAATGTGAAATTAATCCACCCCAACTTCAATCTGTCACATGAAATAAAATTAGACAGAACTTCATAAATCAGCAAACTAAGCTGACAGAAGTACTTAGGGTTTAGATCAAGTCTAGGACTGAACAGGGAGAGAAAGATGGGGAAGTGGGAACCAGTCCTAACATGCTCTTCTCCACGCTATTCTCTGCGAACAGAAATTCACAGCTGCACAAAAGGCAAAGCAGATGTTTGTCACCTGTGAGGGAAGGCAAAGTTGTCTGTTTTGCTGGGTTGGAAAGCTCACATTAGCCCCAAAGGAACAGGAGGATGAGGATCTTAGTGAGGCAAGTTGAAGACTGGAAATCAAATCAAGTAGGTAGGAAAGCTCAAAAGGATGGTGCTGAATACTGAAGGGTGCAGAGAGGTTAGCTCATAGAATATCTGCTTGCCCTCCCTGCTCGCAGACTGTCTCACCGGAGTGGTGCATGATCTGGTTATCTCCTGCTTGGACTACTGCAATGTACTCTACTTGGGGCTACCTTTGAAGGTGACCCGGAAACTACAACTAATCCAGAATGTGGCAGCTAAACTGGTGACTGGGAGTGGCCGCCGAGGCCATATAACACCGGTCCTGAAAGACCTACATTGGCTCCTGGTATGTTTCTGAGCACAATTCAAAGTGTTGGTGCTGACCTTTAAAGCCCTAAATGGCCTCAGCCCAGTATACCTGAAGGAGTGTCTCCACTCCCATCGTTCAGCCCAGACACTGAGGTCCAGCTCCGAAGGCCTTCTGGCGGTTCTCTCACTGCGAGAAGTGAGGTTACAGGGAACCAGGCAAAGGGCCTTCTCAGTAGTGGCACCTGCCCTGTGGAATGCCCGCCCATCAGATATTAAGAAAATAAGTAACTATACAACCTTTACGAGACAACTGAAGGCAACCCTGTATCGGGAAATTTTTAATGTCTAATGTTTTACAATTTTTTATGTGCTGTAAGCCGCCCAGAGTGGCTGGGGAAACCCAGCCAGATGGGTGGGGTGTAAATAACATTATTATTATTATTATTATTATTATTATTATTATTATTATTATTACAGTGGTGCCTCGCAAGACGAAATTAATTCGTTCCGCAAGTTTTTTCTTCTTGCGAGTTTTTCGTCTTGCGATGCACGGTTTCCCATAGGAATGCATTGAAAATCAATTAATGCGTTCCTAGGGAAACCGACTTCAGACCAGGTCCGGGGACAGTCTGTCCCCGGACCTCTTCTGAAGGCTGGGGGGGGGGGGACAAGGGCTTTTCTTCCCACCCCCAGCATTTTAAAAAACCCTGGGACAGCGGAGGGCTTCTCCGCTGTCTGGGGCGATCTTAAAATGCTGGCGGGCGGCATTTTAAAATCGCCCCGGACAGCGGAGGACTTCTCCGCTGTCGGAGCGATTTAAAAGCCCCTGGGAAGGCAGGCAGGGGGGACAAAGACTTTTGCCCCCCGCCAGCCTTCAGAAGAGGTCCTGGACCTCTTCTGAAGGCTGGCGGGGCGAAAGTCTTTGCTCCCCCCGCCTGCCTTCAAAAGCTGTCCGGCCCAGGCTTCCCGGACCTTTCCGCCAGCAGCGGCAGCGCTGCCGCTGCTGGCGGAGACCTGCCGGCATGCCGAAGCCTGCGCGCAGCGCGCCCAGGCTTCGCAGACCTCTCCGCCAGCAGCGGCAGCGCTGCCGTTGCTGGCGGAGACCTGCCGGCATGCCGAAGCCTGCGCGCAGCGCGCCCAGGCTTCGCAGACCTCTCCGCCAGCAGCGGCAGCGCTGCCGTTGCTGGCGGAGACCTGCCGGCATGCCGAAGCCTGCGCGCAGCGCGCCCAGGCTTCGCAGACCTCTCCGCCAGCAGCGGCAGCGCTGCCGTTGCTGGCGGAGACCTGCCGGCATGCCGAAGCCTGCGCGCAGCGCGTCCAGGCTTCGCAGACCTCTCCGCCAGCAGCGGCAGCGCTGCCGTTGCTGGCGGAGGCCTGCCGGCATGCCGAAGCCTGCGCGCAGCGCGCCCAGGCTTCGCAGACCTCTCCGCCAGCAGCGGCAGCGCTGCCGTTGCTGGCGGAGACCTGCCGGCATGCCGAAGCCTGCGCGCAGCGCGCCCAGGCTTCGCAGACCTCTCCGCCAGCAGCGGCAGCGCTGCCGTTGCTGGCGGAGACCTGCCGGCATGCCGAAGCCTGCGCGCAGCGCGCCCAGGCTTCGCAGACCTCTCCGCCAGCAGCGGCAGCGCTGCCGTTGCTGGCGGAGACCTGCCGGCATGCCGAAGCCTGCGCGCAGCGCGCCCAGGCTTCGCAGACCTCTCCGCCAGCAGCGGCAGCGCTGCCGCTGCTGGCGGAGACTTGCCGGCATGCCGAAGCCTGCGCGCGCTGACATCAGCGCGCCCAGGCTTCGCGGATCTCTCCTGCCTTCAAAAGCCGTCCGGGATAGCGGGAAGCGCTTCCCTGCTATCCCGGACTGCTTTTAAAATGCTGGCGCTGGGGAGCAAAGCCTTTCGGCCCCCGCCAGCCTTCCTGGACCTCTTCTGAAGGCCGGAGGGGGGGGAAAGGCTTTGCTCCCCACCGCTAGCATTTAAAAGAGGAGATTTCCCTATGGGCTTTCGTCTTGCGAAGCAAGCCCATAGGGAAATTCGTTTTGCGAAGCGCCTCCAAAACGGAAAACCCTTTCGTCTAGCGGGTTTTCCGTCTTGCGAGGCGTTCGTCTTGCGGGGTACCACTGTATTATTATTATTATTATATCTGAATTCAACAACTGCCACTGTGAAACAGATTAGGCAATGGACTACCAAACACAGATCTAAAGGAAAGATAGATGAAGAAGAGGAAGGCTTGAGGAAAAGGGTAAACAGATATATTAAAGATGTCAATTTGGACAAAATTAGTCCATTATTTGGCTGCAGGCTCCTGGTTTATTTTTTATAGCTTTATACACAGTGCTTTATCAAGTAACATAAGCAAGCAAACAGACAGCTCTTGAGTCACCATGGTACAGCAACTGTAAATTCTGAAAAGCTTCATTGGTTGAGACATAAAAATCAGAATATAAAAATGTTCTTACTTTGGCCTCCTAAAGATATGTCCATACTGGGAACACGCTAAGCCTACTGTTGGTGTATAAACAATTGGCATTAATTGCTCAATATCATCTTGCAATACCCTGTAGAACAGCTTCTCGTTTCTTTCCTGCATGCCCATCACATAGATGTATCTGCAAATGAAACAGTGGAGATGCAAGATTATATTTATTTATATACCTTCCCACTAATGAGGAATACTCTGAAGCTGAAATGAAAGACTGAGAACAATAACAAAATCATTCTTTTTTCCACCTTTTGCTTTTTGAATTTGTGGTTCTCCTGTGCTATCCTTCTCAGGGAGAAACTATTCATTTCACTTAGATGAGTATCTCTTCTCTTTAAAAACAAAAACAAAAAACACAAGCAGTGTTAAATTTCAGCAGCAGGGCAGCAAAAGGGTGGAGGGTGAGAGAAGGGAAGGGGCTGCTTAATCCTCTCCCTTCCACTCATCTTTCTGCTTTTCACCCACAGGGGAAAAGATACAAGTATTCCATATATTGTTCCGCCCCAGCCCCAGCCCCCCCCCCCGCCCCGTGGAACAAAAAGCAGCTTTTAAAGAGGAGTGAATTTTGAGCAAAAATTGCCAGAAGAGGGGGGGAAATTAAGTGGGGTGCTGCAGAAAGAATGCAGTTGGTCGAGGGAGCCGTGGACTCAAAAAACTTGAAAACCTCTGGACACTTTCCTCATGGAGGTTACTTCCAGTTAAGCTAATGCAGGATTTTGGACTCCAATTCAAGGTTGTTTTTACAACCGACACTAAACTTTTTAAATTTATTTTGCATTCAACAGTTGCATTCGCTGAATGCCAAGTAACCTCTATGAACCAAGTGGTAGTTTCTTCCAAGAAACACACACTGGATCAGGATTATGGGAAAACCTACTTAAAGGGCGGTGGGGTGTAATCATCGTTTGCTCAATGGACATGGCACTCCCTTGATAAGAGAGCTGTTTTATTAGGCAGAACACTGCTTTGTGGGCACGCTATCTATCTTTCAGTTACTGCCCAGATCCTAAGTGCCTACACATTAACACTCAAGTCAGTAATTACTCTTAGATTGATATCAGGGGTGGGGCAAGGGCTCTAGCTCAATGGCACAGAATCTAAATCTCAGGCAGAAGGTCCCAGGTCCAAGTAGGGCTGGGAATCTCAGAAATGGAGAAAAGAAAGCAGGTTGCTTTACTAGTAAATATATTTAATAAGAAGCAAAGCAACAAAGGCTTCAAAGAGGGAATATTTGGAAAATGGGAACGAGTTGAAAGAAGCATGGCCTATACCTGGTCAGAGATGCTTTGATGGAAGCCCTGATGATGTTCTGATGGACGTGTTTATTTTTATTTTATATTCTTTATTGATTAATAAAATTGCATGTCTATACAAACATTATGTGCTATCTCTTAACAGGTAGAAAAAAGAAAATTATATAAAATAGAAAATTTATAAAGAAAGGAAAAAAAACAAGTAACAAAGATAAGAACTGTGATAGGAATTTTATGGTCTTAGATATATAGTAATGTTCATAACTGCACATACATAGATCAACACAGGAAAGCCAACCTGGAACCATTTTGACTCCTAAACTGAGCAAATGTTTCTCTGCATGGTAAAAATGGAAAAGCCTCCCCATTGTCTCTTTCCTCACAAATCCTGTCTCAAAGATATGTCTGTTTGAATAAGGTGTGAGCCTGTGACCTGGCCCAGGAAATAAGTATTTTACCACTACAAAAGAATGGCCAGGCTCCCCAGGAAATCCAATCAAGTAACCTGCTAGACAGGAGATAAACTGTGACAGGAGAAAAACAATATTTAAATTTCTGTGATGTAGGGGGATGTATCTGAGGGGTGGTCTTAGGTTACACCCCTTCTGTGATGTATGCATAATGTTTCTGGGGGTGGTCTTGATCTAGAGAATGGGAATTTCAAAAGTCTTTATAAGGCCTTGCACGCCATTGTTCTGGGTCCTCTTCCTCTCCTGCGTGTGAGGGGAGTACCCTGTTGCAACAGATCAATAAAGATCAAGCTTACTAGCTGCTTTGCTTCTCAATATTCTCTGGTTGGCCTCTGTTATTTTCTCCTACCAATAGGGAACCTATGTAAGGACTCTATATGGGCTCTTGGATACCCCATAAGGGAAAAGGGCATATTTTTATTTACAACAGATGGCGACCACGAAGGGACTTTTGGTTACCCGGATTCTGGAAGCGAGGAAGGACTGGTTATCCAGCGCGCACCAGGCAGTTTGCCAGGAGGAATAACCAGTCCTCCATCGATCCCAGGGTCTGGAAATAACTGGAGGTTCAGCGGGGCTAACCAGAGGAAGCAACGCATGATCAGGCCGGCCTTAAACAACCAGTCAAGAGATCGCAGGATCACCAGGAACAGCACATGCAGAAGTGAGTATTAAGTAGGAAACACGGGTAGTGGGTTGGGTTCTCTAAACCACAGCAACCAAAATTCTTTAACTCTTCCTTTTTCCTTCAAATCTAAACTTTCTGCTTCTTTCCTCATCTAAAAATTGTCTTCTCCTTTCTGTCCCCTCAATCTCAACACCAGCCCTAGCCCTTCGGAGTATGCCCAGGCAAAAGTTGTGTGTGACTTCTTTTATTTCCCTTCTACAGTCTATATGCCGACCTATTCCTTCTGAGTTTTGCCCAGAAAAAGGTTGTGCTTTTTCTTCTGTACTGAAAACTATAACTCCCAGGTGCAGCCGCACCTCTGCCATGGCGATCTTTGTTAGAGATGACCTGTGAGCAGAGAAAGCAAGGGCACCTGATTCCTTTCCTTCTTTGTCATTTCTGAGTCCCAATCTGGCACTGCGCTACGCAAGCGTCCAGTAGGGAACTCTCAGGTTAGATTGTAAGAGGCAGGAGGTTGCTGTGGGCTCCCTGGCTGAGAAATGACCATGGGGGGGTTTGAGATCGCTGACCGCACTGTTAGCTTAGTAGCCAGGAAAGGCCAACAGCTGTACCAGCCTAGTAAGTCAGGCCAGACGAACGGCGGTGTGTCACAGTACTAATTCTCGGAGTTGTCCAAATTGAGTCTACTGTGGGTTATTTATTGTGTTTCCTGAAAAGTGGGGATAAAACCCCGACTGCAGTATAAAAGTAAAAGCTAGCGCTATTAAAAATTCTTAATAAAATGGGTGCACCTCAATCAAAAGAAATGAACCCGCAGACTCCTGATGGGAAAGAAGCCCAGTTGGCGCTTATTTCCGGCCTGGACTCTGACAGTCCCCTTCAATTTGTGTTTAAGAAATGTTTTTCCTGTGTTTAAATTGTACTTAGGTAACATCCAGCAGCTGCTTATCTTGAATGTGCCATCTAAAATAAAAATGCAAGCTTGCTCCAAGTTCTAAATCTAAGAAAGCCATGTTGAACGTTATCAATCTTAAACAAGACAAAAATTGAGAATGAAGTGTGCAAATGTTTGTTATTTGAGAGAGGCTCTAAAAGAGTTTTTCTCCCAAGTGGTAAAATCCTGTATACGTGCTACTTGTGTTCTGAAAGGAGGATTACCCCACCTCCTTCCTCTAGATTAAGTGAGGAGGCTGATTTTAAGTCTATCTAATGGTAAATGATGTTTTGTTGTAACTTTTGAGTTTGTGAGTACACCTGTGTTCCAGTCTATTCTGGAATGTGAAGTTAACCTAATGTTTCTGCTGCAAAAGCCTAGTTGAGCAAAATTGCTGTCTCAGGCTAAAATGCAGTGTATGTATTTCATTAAGCACATGCCTATGAAAGTATGGTGTTCTTTCTAAGAAAATTGTTATTAAATGTAGAGGCTTCCATGGCCAGCAAAATTCTATGAGTCCAGTCCAGATATCAGTCTCTATAAGGCTTACTGGACTCTTTTCTTAGAAAATGCCCCCCCCTTGTTTCATTCTGTCTCTTTCATATTTTTTTTCTCTTTTCTTCTCCTTCTTACTTCTGTGCCAAGTAAATTTACTCCAGAGTAAGCTTCCTTTAAAGGAAACTGCAAGGGGGGGGGGCATAGATTAGGCTTTCTATTCCTCTGCAAGTTCAGTTAAAATTGTCACTTTTGTATTCCTTTTAAATCAAATCTATTTTTTTTTAAATAATTTTTATTAATTTTCCAAACATATAAAAAACAAAAAATAAAACAAAACAAAACATACAAAACATACAAACAAATAAACATGTATAATTTCTTAAAATTATTTTCATAAACCTTCTTTCCCGGACTTCCCCATACCTCCCTTTTTCTGCATCCTTATGTTAACCCTTTCTCAGCAACCCTTCGTTTCAATTTGTTCGCTCATTTTCATTATGCATTTTTTAAAGTTAAGATTTACAGCTGCAATTCTCTATTTCTTATAACCATAACATCTCAGCCATCATCAATTTTACAACAGTCTTTAAGATATTTTTTAAATTTCTTCCAGTCCTCTTCCACCGTCTCTCTCCCCTGGTCGCGGATTCTGCCGGTCATCTCTGCCATACCCATGTACTCAGTCACCTTCGCTTGCCATTCTTCCAGAGTAGGTAGCTGTTGCGTCTTCCAATACTTTGCTAGAAGAATTCTCGCCGCTGTGGTAGCATACATAAAGAAGTTTCTGTCCTTCCTTGGCACCAATTGGCCTACCATACCCAAAAGAAAGGCCTCTGGCTTTTTCAAAAATGTCCATTTAAGGACTTTTTTAATTTCATTATAGATCATTTCCCAGTAGGCCTTTACCTTCGGGCAGGTCCACCAAAGGTGATAGAAGGTACCTTCAATCTCATTACATTTCCAACATTTGTTACTGGGCAGATGATAGATTTTTGCAAGTTTGACTGGGGTCATGTACCACCTATAGATCATTTTCATTATATTCTCTCTTAATGCATTACAAGCTGTAAACTTAATACCTGAATTCCATAACTGTTCCCAGTCATCAAACATTATGTCATGACCTATGTCTTGTGCCCATTTAATCATGGCTGATTTTACTACTTCCTCTTGTGTATTCCACTTCAGCAGCAAATTGTACATTCTCGACAAGTTCTTGGTATTGGGTTCTAGCAGTTCTGTTTCTAATTTCGACCTCTCCATCTGGAAACCTATTTTCCTGTCCTGTTTAAATACTTCGTTTATCTGACGATAATGCAACCAGTCTCGTACCTTAGACTTTAA